TCCTAGTTTTGGGGGTCGCTGGGAGAGTCCATGGAAGAAAAGAGGCCATTAGATAACGTAGGGACGCCACGAGCGGGCGGTGGGAGTCCAAGCCAACTGCGGATTTCTCCTGAAGAGTGCTCCGCGGAGTGTAACATGGGACGGATTCTCCGTCTCCGCCCAGCGGGAAGCCGAGGAAAGCGTGTATTACCTGATGCAGCAGTACTGGGGCCTGATGTTGATGATTCTCGAACAATCGTAAGATCCTCGCTGGGTGAGCTCAGGACGAGCAACAAGATGGTCAGGAGTATCGCTAACACGACAGTTCCCGACATGATACGAAATTTTCTTGAACAAGAGGCCGAATCGCTGGAGGAACTCGTAATGATCTCCTGGCCCGGTGAATGGGCTGTAAGCGATATCCATTCGTAAGGCTCGCTGGGTGTGATCCCGGTCAGGGGGCTCGAGATCGGAGAGACTTCATCGATCGGTGATTCAGGCGAATCGAGTTCCATTGGCGGCTCAAGCACTCGTTTCGACATCAGAGAAGAATGATTCTCGGGATTCCCCATGGGCAATGTTTTCAGCCTTCGCTCAAAGGGAGCGCATGATTTCTTCCCTTTGAAGCCGACAATGGGAGGATTTCAGTGCTGGAAGAGGCGATATCCTCGTATGCACAGTCCCTGGACCGTTTCGAAGATACAGACTTGGATGCAAGCTGAGAATTTAGTATGCTGATCTCACCATCGGTTCCTGTCGAGCTCTGAGCCACTCGCGCCTCCGGTATCGGTGTCACAGGTCTCAAGTAACCAGTGACCACACGAAGACCGGAATTTCGTTGTCGAAACTGCAAACTGAGAGACGAGGAACAGTTCGCTACGCGGAATTACCCTGAGTGAGCCAGTGAACTTACTGATTGCGGAACTCCTCGCGGCGTGGAATCATCAGGAAAAGTGAGTGCCTTTCATATCGGCCCCTCTGCCTCATCTGGACGGTCTGCCCAATGAGCGAAATCCTCTGAGCATATCCTTATGACGGAGGATGGCGGATCACGAATAGAATTCATGAAGAAACATGCGGTGCAGGTAAAGCAGGGGGTGAGTCGAGCAGGGGATATCCAGAGGGACGCGAAGCTATCAGACCAATTTCCACACGTTTCGGTTCCTGTATTTGAAACATTTCGGGCGGGAGGATCTATGAAGCCCTTCTGCCGGGCCTCGATCCCTGTGGAGATCTCAGGAACGAGCCCGGCTGCGAAGTCATTACTCCGGGAACGCGGGCGCATGTCTTCGACTACTACGCGTCTGATTGAATGAGAAATCCCTTCCTCATCGGGGACTGAACATTCAACCGAATGAGTATGGTGTCTAGTGTCTACTCACATGCAATCCGTAAGAACGGGAGGAGGAGCGAAAAATGAGCGCGGAAACGCACAGAGAGGACAATGGACAAAGGAGCGGCTGGAAGGACGGAGTGGTAGACGGGGAAAAGAAAGGATTCGGCGCGGCATCGGACTGAACAACGATCGGAAATCTTTACTCCAATATCACATGAATATTTTCATCATTGTGCGTCATATTCACAGCATCATTCACTTTACTCGACCTGCTCTATGCGGCAGAAACGCGCCAATGGGCCCGGCTAGTAATCAATAAGTTATACTACAGCATATGATATTGATGGAAAGCCAAAAACCGTCGAGCTCGGTTTCACAAAATCGACTTCGGTCTCGTCGATTACAAATCACACCGAGCCGATGCGATGATCAACCAAAACTTGGCGAAAGCTTCCCGGGAATGATTCGGTGGCGTATTTGTTCATAGTACATCGGAATTTCTCACCGATGATACGTTCACTTCTGATCCTGTTCTTCAAGTATTGGAGTTCTGAAGAACATCGCAGTTTATACAGGTGTTCCATCTGAGGATGGGATGCGACGAGTTGACCCTCCCGAAACGCAAATTTCGCATTCCACGCACGAGCCTAGAGATCGGGAGACTCACCATGACCTTTATCACGTCAATTCGTCGAGACCTCCGGTAGGGTAAGCTCAAAAAGGAGCGTCCAATGCACGGGGCCAGTCGAGCACTCGAAGTCGACGTAGGGCGTCGTGGTCCTACGGACAACGAAACCAAACAGCTGAGGCTTTACCAACCTGATATTGACTATCGCATAAGGCGGTACCTCTGTAAAAAAAGGATTCAATTCCGTAGGTGACCCAACAAAAACGAATATTTGTGAGAATAGTCGACAGTATCCCGCGGAGGTGATCAGGAATCTGGAGAGGCTTATCCCGGTACCTTCGAAAGGTATTTTGGTGTCAGTCGGAATGAAGCCTAGTTCCTCGTTCCTGCACATCAATTCTGAAAATTTCACAATATTTTCTCCATCCTTTTCTAGTTCCGCATAGGTCGTCTCGAGCGAAGTCTCTTTCATGAATTGCAGCGTGGATGCGACAAGTCCGTTGATGAATTCCTCATCTATGACTGGGAGGGAAACAAGCTCGATGGAGGTCGAGCTCTGGATTTCTAATATCGTATGTCACTCTGCAGGGGATGGACTCCAGATAAGAACTCGATAGCTCCAGATAAGAACTCGATAGCCCCAGATAAGAACTCGATAGCTCCAGATTAGAATCTCGACGCTGCAGCAAGGGATCGAATTTCCATTCGACGATCGATGATCGAAACGCTCTCCGACTAACCTGTTATCAGTGTCCTGCCCCTGATCGGAGTCAACGACGCTCGCGGTTGCTTCTCGAGAAGCGAAAAGTATAGCAACGTCACCGCTACTAGGAAGAGAAATGCGGCGCTGGTCACGACGCACAGTGGTAGATTTCCACGGAAATTCAAAACTTTTGAACGGCTGGGCCGATTTTCAAGAGCATTTCATGTGGAATAAACGGATTCTTGCGGAACAAAGCGTGAAATTATCAATATTTCAATGGAGATTGTGGTTTTTTGACCGTTTCATTCCCGCTGAGGAGGTCTCCGGCAAGGTCTGTGAGCTTGGGAGAATGCGGACGACTCGGGAGCATCACTTGAGACCATTGGTGCCAATAGGAGCCGTAAAGGGCGGCACCTTCAGATGGGAAAGTTCGGAAAATATGGAAATTTCGGAATGTTTTTATTTTTAAAGGTATTCGTTGTGGCTGGATGGTTCCAATAGTACTCACTTATGTGAGTTGGGTCTATTGAGCGCGGGTAAGGCTAGTTTCTTCGAGAAAAAAATTCTCGCCTCTATACTCAAACGGCACTTTCACAAATCGGCGTGTAGCTCCTCAACGAAGCGTCCTAGAGTGAAACGCCTGGCAAACGAAAGGTGCGGGATCGGGAGAGCTTTCCAACGCCATCAAGCAGTCCAAAATCCATTCAGCCGTTTAGCCGCAATCGTCGATTTAAGGGGAAATTTTCGATTTTCGGAAAGAAGGAGCCGAGGCTCAAAGTTGCCAATATGCTCAAAAGTTGCCTATCCGTCCACAGAACTCCCAAAAAAAAATTTCAGGAAAATCGGCCCAGCCGTTCAAAAGTTATGAATTTCCGTGGAAATCGACCACTGTGCGACGGGAGCACAGGATCGATACGTTCCCGACAACGATTTTCCGACAGACGTCGAGCTCAATGTCACCGATGACGCAGGGATCGGCCGGTCCGAGAATAGTGATGCTGTTCCCAGATCGAGGCGGTCGGCCGCGTTAAATTCGGAGTAAAGGGATCTGGCTGCGAATGGGAATTTCGCATCCCGGTGAATCCTTGATCCGCGCGGAAACCGCCAAACGCCGGCAGTTTACATAAACTCACTGTCCTCTTCTTGCGACGCCTCTTCGGCCGTCATCCCGTTTCGTTGTTTGCTTTCGAAGGGCATCGCGCAAGGCCAATCCGAGCCGGTCCGCAACCGAGTTCGAATGAGCACATCCGGGCGATCATCTGGGATTGATCGATAAGCATTCGAACATCCGAACGAGTTTATTGAACGAATGCATGGGTCTAGGTATACGGAATTCGATCCTGACACCCCTGGGCTGCCTCTATGGGAAGTTCTTCAGGTTGACAGGTCCCACACCTTGGGAATCGACTGCGGTAGCAACTGAAGAGTTCGGTGACGTCGTAATCGAGCGCGATATGATATCGAGGCTCAAAAATGGTAGGAACAATATAGTCTTGCACTATATTCGAGGATATCTGGAGACGATATAATAATAATCTTTTCTTGAAACGATATTCCATCACGAAAATACACACGGGAAACATCATTCGAAAGGAACCGGTATGGAGTCTTCTAAAAGTACGTCTCACGCAAGTAGTTCGGATCGTGAGTCGTCAGGTCTTTCACCAGTGTCTCCTCATGATCTCTGTAGATGCTGAATGCGCCCCGTGTGCGTCAATGGGCCAATTTCCCGATTCGGCTGGAACGTAGGCTCTCGGCAGACTGCATGTCTCAGCCGACGATGATGTCGAGGGCTCAAGGTCCCGTGTCCCGAGTCCCGACAACGGGGGTTGGAACTCGGAGCGTTGGATCTTGCACAGGCTAGAGGGTTGCGTGTCGCCAGCGCCGACCGCATCAGCTCTTCGAGACGAATCAATATCATCGAGGGGCCATCATGCTCCCTCTCTGCTGCTGATTTGACCTCTGTTTCCGAGCGAAGTCGCGATGGTCTCGAGTCTTGATTACGATTTGAACGGAACGATCAAACACCGATCGAGAATCGAGAATTCGAAGAAGGTGATGCCAAGGGTCGAAAGGGCGAAAATCTCTTTGAAGCCCATTAAGACTCGGATAGCTGTGCTCTGTAGTCTACTGACTACTGACTCAACGCTGAGGAAGTCGGCCATTCCCTTTCTCCGAAGCCTGAGCGCCATGTTCGCAGGAGTCCCAAACTCCGGATGAAAACGATGCTCAAAAATCTCACGAGCTTCTTCCGTCGCGGTAAACGAGCCGTCAGCACTTCTGTCGCAAGATGGACCCGCTCCAGGAAATCCGAGCAGCCCCTTGATTATGATTTATACTTATTGAAAGAGACGATGGCACTGAAAGAGAGAATCGCCGCGAACAGATGTCCACGAGCAAAGATAAAAGAATTCGACATTAATGGTTACATCGGAGGGGGAGGCTATGGCGCGGTGGTCGAAGCGGAATGGATGAAAAAGAAACGGCTTTGTGTCATCAAAATTCAAAACAAATCTCACCTTGTGGAAAGTAAAGTCACCGAGTCGGTGATACGGGAGAAAAAAATCCAATACGCCTGCAGATCAGCCTTCATCTGCAGGGTGCGCTGTTCCTGTCAAGATTGGAAAAACATTTATTTGGTGATGGATTACGCACTGTTCGGCGATCTTCGAAAGAACTTTCAAGAGAAAAAAGACTTCTTCACTGAACGCGCGATCAAATTCTGTGTGGCCCAAGTGGTACTGGCGCTTGAGTATTTGCACGCGTCCGACATCCTGCACCGAGACCTGAAGTTGGAGAACATCCTCGTGTTTGAAGATGGCTACATCAAATTGAGCGATTTCGGCTCGGCGAAACAGGTCCCCGGCACCACGGCGACTTTCGTCGGAACCGTTCACTACTTGCCACCAGAAGTTATCCACCAGATACCCTACAGGACCGGATTCGATATATGGACTCTCGGAGTGCTGATCTACGTTTTGTTTCACAGAGATTTCCCATTCACTGAGGTATCATGGAGTAACGCTCGGAATTTCGACGCTATCCAAAGCGGGACATTGACTTTCCCCGGAAAAAGGCCCATGTCGGAGGACGCCATCGATCTCACGAAACAATTACTCGAGAGAGAGGTATCCAAGCGAATCGGAGTCGCGAGAGGAGGTATCAAGGCGATCAAGAGGCATCCATGGTTCGCCGACATCAACTTCATCCATATATTCAGGAAAGAAGTTCCCAGCGACTTCGGCTTCAAACACGTGGAAGCTCGGGAGATGGATCCTTCTATTCTAATTCCTGAAGTTAAGATGAGAGATCCTTTTCGGGATGAATTCATCGAGTTCTGAACCCCAGACTGTGGATCGGATGGCCTTTGGACCTTCCAGCGCAACATGGGCCACCGTGACAGAAGACGGAGCCCCGAGCTAGTGATCCAATGAATGCCAGAGGCTTGAGCATGGCGAGAGGAAAAGTCCTGTTTTCGATGAAGCTTATTCATCCGCAGCGTCCCGTAGGTCCGATAGAGCGATCCGGGTGCAGAGGATTCGAATGCCATCGCTCTCGCGATTCCGCGTTCGAGTTAGCGATTCTTGCGGCTCGTGATTCCGAGTTGATGACTCGAGGAATATCCAAGATGCTAGCCGAAAATTCTCGGATCAATCTCAAATCGGGAGAAATCTTCCGAATCGAGACCTGTGGCCTAAAGCCCGTCAAGGACACTGAGTCGGCTCGGTCTCGGTCGCAAACGTTCAGTTTCGTGACACTGGGCTTCATGAATTCGTTTATCCAACCCATGATCGGATCTCGACGGGCTACGATTTCACTCGGCTGTTTCGAATGAGGGACTCTTTTATCGTCCGCTTGTTGGACGATTCCTCAAAACTCATAAGTCCATCCGGAACAGTCGCGGGTTAAGTGAGGTCTGTTAAGCTCGACAACGCTTCGACGAATGAATCATTCGGAATGATGTTGTAGAGAAATTACTGACTTAGCATGCTCTACAGCTCCATCTCTCCGAAGGCCTCGTATCACGGGCAGCGAAAGCACAGGGAAATGTATAGTACATATTTTTCTAGCTATCGGCCTCAGGATCAGTCAGGAGAGGACCGTCCCGAACTGAAACGGTAGCCGTATCATTGTTCTGTGATGGGAGGCTTTCATGATGATCAATAAGCGCAGACATTCCCGCGAAGATTTCCCGCGGCCATGTCTAGGTCTATGCAGTCTCACATGTGAAACCTCTGAAGTCTCTGAATGTTCACGAACCGGTCCGAGGTCTGGGCGATGCCATCTCGTATGTGATCCGCGGTAGCTTCCTCTTGGAGACTCTGGAGTCCGGAATCTCCTTATTAGCGTAGGACCTTATCCAAACGAGCATGAGGTCACTCTGAGCAAGCTTCCGGTCTCCCAGCTCCGCTCATCGCCAGTGAGGCAAGAAACTGCGCCCGGCGCGTCGCACGGAGCAGCGCGATCTTAATGGAGGGTGTGAGCGGCTTCCTGACCGAGGGTCGCACTCCTTGCGGATTCCGTTTTCCGGATCCGTTTTCCCAGATCTAGATGCGCGAATCTTGTCGGAACTACCAGTATCCCTAACGGGGCCGGAGCTTCCTTCCTCTTTTGCGCCTTTAAACTGATTCACGGTTGTACGTTCGGCATTGATTTTTGCGTCAGGGTCTGGAAGCATCAATCTTTGGACCGTGCCGTGATACCGGTGAGAGACGACAGCTGACAAGCGATTTTTCATTTAACTTCGATGCCGCGAAACTCCCCGTAGCATATGGCTTCCGTTCTTACTTATAGCCCCAGCTCCATTTCTCCGAGGGTTCAAAAATTCCCAGATCGAGAAATCGAAGTGAATGATTTCTCGTCAGTACAATCAATGCCCGGTTGCGCAGCTCCCATCGATCGCCAGCATCAAGTTTGAGGCATCGATTTACTTGGCTTACCAGGGTTTCTTTCCCTCCGTACTCGAGGACCTCTCCCGTCTCAGCTCCAGTGCCGTATCGCCGCCCGAAGGTTCGGGTTTCTCCGGGAGCGGTGAATCCTCCTGCGTCTAGGAATAACGAGAGGATTCCCGCATTCGAATTTTCGCACCTTCTCTGACAGCCAAAAGTGGCGGAGGCTCGACATGTCCCCGCGCATGCGCTTCTGGGCATCGGGAAGCGCAGAAGAGCTGCCGCTGTACTTCTAGTTGAGCAAGCTCACTCACTCAGATATCGAGGGTCGGGATCGGGCCCCACGTGGCCTCCTCTTCGCGGAAACGTTAACTTTGCCAAAGAGTCGGGGGAAGTGTTGCAGGAGGCTGAGTCTTCTAAAACTTCGGAGATATTCCAAGGACTTCGGAGGATTTCCATGTCATGATCGAGGAACCGACCACGTTCGAGAAAGGCAGACCCTCTCTTTGGCATGCGGAAGCTCATCAAAGCGCCTCTGAGGGTTCCCGTAGATTCGAGGCCTACGGCATCTGTCTTCTCGGACGCCCGGAAAGCCAACGGGATGAGAGACATGTCCGACTTCACCGATTCTGAAGATATGACGTCGTTCTATCCGAACAAAACAGGCCCTGTCATCGTCCCACTTTATGGTTCGTGGTTCATTGATTTACGACTCGCTTTTCGGAACGACCTCTCATTCCTCCCGTGGGAAATGCGGAGAGGAGCAAGCTCGGAAACGCGCACATTCTTTCCCCGAGATAGAGACCAGAGTTCCAAGACGCTCAGATTCTAGTCATGACGATGACGTGAAAGACACCGCCTTGATCGGGGGGATTTTCGGGAGCATGCTGAGTGAATCCGAAATCTGCTGAAGAATTCTGTCTGTTCGATTTCAGTTCCCGTCAAGTCTAACAAACGCGAGTGCCTGACTCATTGCATCTGGTTGGCAGTCTCGCTAGGGGTTAGCGCTGCGGCGTTCGTGGCTTTTTACTATTTCTATTCCACCTTCAAGCAACGCGGGACAACGATTGCAGGTGAGGTTCAAGTCCACAGCTCGAGAGATCTCGCTCTTCGCCATGCGAAATTCTCACCCCGTTGCATAACCATTCTCGTCATCGTCATGCACCGGTCATTGACGATATTCCTTCCCCAGATTCCCCGGCGAGTACTTGCGATATGTGCAAGGATTACTACCACCGTAAATGCGAAGCTGACGCGAACGGGGAATGTGGCTGCGAAGAAGGCTTTAAAGAAGTTTTTGGCAGGTTCTGTTATTCACCGAGTGAGTTTCGGGCTCTTGAGCTCGGAGCTTTTCTACTAAATGAGTTTATCAGATCCTTTCCCGGACACTTCGGCCGAAGCAAGACAATCCGTCGAGTTATTCCGCAACGAGTCTCGATCGTCTGGCATGGTCAATTTTTTTCTTCGAAGGTTCTTGTTTACAAGCGATGCGCGCCGAATTCAGAGAACTGGAGAATCTGAGTTGTCGACGGATCACTCCTCTCAAACTAGTCGAGGATCCTATGGCGAGCGGGACCAATCTGACGAAGAAGGGAATATCATGGAGAATCCTCAAATTCGTACGGCTCCTCAAATATGTTGCCGTAGCGAAGACTCGGGAAGGTTTTGACTTGGATACGCGCTTCACGAAACTGGACCCCCGATGCAGGTCGTACGTTGTGAAACGCTTACGGAAAATCAGCGAAACTGAGTTCGATTTGGTCATAAAATGCATGAGCGAGGTCGACTCTTGCAAGGAGCCGAGAAATTCCGGAAACGAAAGCTTGCCCGGCTATGGTTCGGACCCGGACTTCAAACAGCGGTTGGAGCTGCAGCTAGTCAGCGCTGAACTGTATGATGATTTGTGCAGCCACAACGTTCCCTATGGTAGGGCTCTGGCGGCGGACTTTGCATTGGAAGGTCATCCCCGATCGGTTCCGTATTTGGTTTTCTGCCTGATGGCTCGGAGCCGATTCTGGGAGGACTTCCGGGACACTGTGAAAGGACAGCTGATGGAACTCCTCGGAGAGCGCTCGGCGGTCGAACGGACGACGAACTTGACTCTCGAAGTGTCGTCCGAGCTGAGGGATAAAGTTGAAGAGACTGCGAGAGTTTTGAATCGCGAAATACAGTCGGTGCGGAATCTCCCAGCCCTCGTCCAGATCATCGAAGAGAAAGAGTTCGGGTTGGTGGAGCATTTGTCTCCGTACACCATGAAGAAAGAGATAAGCATTGAAACTGGGGAGATCGCTCTTCCTTTATGGGTCATAGCCTTCTGTTACAACACGCGCATCACCGAAAGCAAGGAAACGATTCGGAACAGTGTGACCTTATTCTTGTTGATTCTGCGGAAATGTGGTTCGGCCATCGACGCATCCTTCGTCGAGTGCCAGTGAGTACAGTGCGGTCGGCCGAACCGTCGGTGCCACTGCTGATATTCCCCTCGCCGACAATGATTCACGACGTCTATCCGGTTTGCAGGTTTGGCTTGATTCTTGAACACTGCAAGAAGGAACATGGGTGCGATAGCACAAGAGCTTATAAGTACCTGAATTGGTTTTCGGCAAAATCGACCAGGAACGTGAGCTGTTTTTTCGAACCTCCGACGACTTTCCCCAGAGAGTGTCAACCTTTGAAGAAAATATGATATTTAGTCTGTTCTCCCGCGGGTGGAAGGGGGAAGAATAAATACAGGTGCCCGAGTACGGTGAGCCTCCTATTCATTGTCGGAACCTCTGATTCGAGCCGCAAGAGCTACATACATGACGTGATGCTCGGAGCGAATCCCTCTGCGGCCGCGTCAGACCTTCAAATTCTTGAAGTATGTTTCCGTCTTTGCGTTTAGGCCAAGAGGATGATGATAAAACAATATTCGCGACTTCTTCGTCGAGCGAGAAGTTTTTGAGCCGCTACTAGTTGGAGGGAGATTCATTCCAAGCATGGGTCATTAGCGCGAGCCGCAGGCCCGCCTCAACCGGGGGAAACCTTTCGACCCTACAGATATATCCTCGTCTGAATTCAACGGGTGTCGACCCTTGCACGCTGACCGACGTCATTCACCGCCGCTGACTACCGAACTGCCGACTTAGAAATATTGCGGAGATAGTGAATTTTGAATTGTGAATATCGCTGTTGTTAATCAACGATTTCATTGGAAACCTCGTTATCCTTGAGAAGCAACGACGGATCCGCCCTGGTATTTTTCCGGACGCGAAGTGCAAAATATTCACTCAATTCCATTCTCACGCAGACAATCCGAGCACAAGTGGTCGAAAGAGACAGTCTCACTCAGATCCGTCGCGGAAAATACGAGCTGCGATACTCCTTTCTTGCGTGAAAGCTCAGAGGAGCATCAAGCTTGAGAGAGGTCGAGTATTTGAGAAGATTCTCCGTGGCGCGTCGGACGGCCGCCG